CCTCAAGGGCCACCCTTGACTTTCCTTTTGGGTTCCTTCACCAGGCAAAGGACGGGGTGAGAGGGGCCTGGCACCTCAGCTGTGACTCAGAAATGCAGCGAAGAGCCTGGTGGTGACGGACAAAGCCCCTGATGAAGGCACACAGGAACTGAAGTCCTGGAGGGAGGGTGCAGGGCAGGAGGGGAGGGAGCGAGTCAGCAGGTCATTTTCGCCAGGGCTCACGCTGTTGAACCTGACTGGCTAAGCAAGGGGCACGGGCTTTATTCACAAAGTTTCCCACATCAGTGACGTTACACAGACCAACCTGTCGACCTGAGGATTCTTCCAAGTCCCCGTGGAAACCTATCTTTTAGCCACGCTGTCCACTCATGTTTTATTTGCCTGATTATTTTTCCCTTTCAAGCCCAATTCCCATTCAACTTCTTGGGCAAGTATAAGGCTGCAACCTACTGAATGCAAATCGCTGGGCCGACAGAGCTAAGTGCCCGGCCAAATGCTGCCAAGTCAGAGTCAGCAGCCTGAGAAGTGGGGTGTCTTTTCCCTATGGGAAGACATGGAATAGGCAGCAGGGAGTGTGGCAGAGTGCACGAAGGAGCAGCAGCAGCTCCCCGTGCCCTGCCTCACCTTTATGAGTCCCTTCTGGAAAAGTCTCCTGAGTGATAAAAAGTTTAAGAATTTTAAAATAATGGAGTCCTTTTTCTGCAGAAAAGGATAGATTAGCAAGGGTTCCTAGGTGAGCAGATTACATAGAGAGCCCCTGCAGGATGCGGAGAAGGGCAGGGACAGACTTCATTTTGAGAAGGCCACCTCTGGCTCCTTGGGGAAAAAGGCAAGGCTGAGAGTAGGGAGAGCTGTCCAAGGGCCCAGGCAATGGTCCCTTTACCTAAGGCAGCAGCAGGGACCAGGTGGGAGGGGCTGGAGACAGTGGAGAGACAGATCCACGTTGCTGTCTGAACATGCCCGGGTGTTATCTGAGAGGGAGGATGGAGTTTTAGGAAGTCACAGGTCAGTTTGGAGGATGGCGCCATTGATAGGAAACAGACACCCACCCTCACAAGTGCCTCTCTGCCCACTTGGCAGCCAAGTCTGTGACACTAGGAGCACTATCCACCAGGTCTACGGGGCAGGTGGATGCCCATGTCAGCCTTCCTTTAGGGTCTGCCGGAGCTGCACCCTAACAGATCTCCCTGTCTTGACAGAGCAGCCTTCCTGGGACACTGGCTATGGGCCTGTACTGGTCAATTTTTAGTCACTGTAATGAAATGCCTGAGGCTGGGAACCTTACAAAGAGATTTATGATGGCCACAGATCTGATTCACCGTGAAGGGGCCACATAATGGCCTTCTTGGCAGTGTCCACAGGCAGCCCAGGGCATCACATGGCAAGAGACAAGGAACACATGTATATGTCTCCGCTGGTCTCTTTTCTCTTAAAGCCATCAGTATTTAATCATGGGAACTCCACTGGGATGAATTTATCCAATTCTAATCACCCCCAAAGGCCCTGCCTCTAAACTCTATAGTTAGATTAAGTTTCTACTCTCTTAATACCTCCCAGTGGTGATTAAATTTCAGCACATAAACCCTTGGGGGACACACTTAAGTCATTATGCAAACTGTTCTGCCCCTGGCCCTTAAGGGTCATCCTTCTCTTAATGCAATACAATCTTCCATCCCCAACAGTCTCGGGGGTCTTAACTTGTTCTAGCATTAATTCAACAGTCCGAAGTGTCATGTGAGACACAAGGCAAACTCCTTGCACTTGTGAGTCATAAAATGAAGACATGTTATCTAGGTCTATGATGCAGTGGCCGGGCAGGCACAGCATAAACATTCCTGTTCCAAATGGAAGAAACAGGAAAACTCAAAGCAATTACCCCAGAGCAAGGCCAAAACTCTGGAGGGCAGACATTCCAAGTCTGGCTTCTTTGCACACTGCAGTGAGGGCTGGGCTCCTAGGGCCTCGGTGTGGCTTTCTGGCCGCAGGCCATGGTTAGTCTCTCATGCAGCCCTCCTCAGTCAGAGTTGCATATGGCTCCGTCTATACCTTCTGGAGTCCCTGCTGAGTGTCCACTCCTATGGACCACTAAGCATTGCCCCAGTGGGGACTCTCTGCAGGAGTTCCGACCCTGTGACTAACTTCTGCCTGGTTTCCCAAGCTTTCCTTTGAAATCTCACTGGAACCACCACGATACTGTAAAAGCTCTTGCATCCTGCACACCTGCAAACTATCACAACACAGAGATCCCAGTCTAGCACTGGCACAAGCTGCAACCAGGCCTGCCTGGCTCCAGGCCTTTTTCCAATTGTCCCAATGCAAAGCAACTGGCTCCTTTTAATCCACTAATCACTGTAGCAGTGGTTTCTCAGCCACACCCTTACATGCCTTTTCTTAGCTCCTTCCTTGGCCAGGCTGTGAATTTTCCAATTTTTTCTGCTTTACTCCTTTAGCTCCTGAATCTCACTGTCGATCTGACTGAAAGCCAATAATATCTATGCTGCAGACGGAATGCTTTGTTCTTTTGAAACCTCCTTTACAAAATAATCAATTCACCACCTTCAAATTTAGTCTTTCACAAAGTCTTAGACATCAGACTTGCACAGAAACAATATAATATGCCAGGTACTTTGCTACTTCATAACAAGGATGACCTTTCCTCCATTCCCAGCAGGATCTTCATTTCCAGCTGACACTGATTCCCTCTTTTCTTCTGAACATCACCAAAAAAGCCCATAATGCTCTCTTCACAGCAGCACAAGCTTTTCCCAGCCTGCTCCTCCCCATTCCTACAACCTCTCCCCATTACCCAATTCCACAGCCACTTCCACAGTTTCTGGAAAGGACCCCACAATCCCAGGACCTGTGTTCTGTATTAGTTTGTTCACTCTACTTGAGCTAGGCAACATTATGAAGAAAAGAGATTTATTTTGACTTGCAGTTCTGGCCCAAGGTCAAGGACCTACATCTGGTGGTAGCTTTCTTGCCGGCAGACTCCTGAGGGAGTGCAGGGCATTGCATGCCAAGAGGCAGGGAACACATGTGTGCATCTCTGCGGGTCTCTCTCTCCTTGCAAAGCCACATGGATTCAATCACAGGGGCTCTATCCTGATGGCCTTATCTAATTCCCACCTCTGAACACCATAGTCAGATTAGGGCTCCACCTTCCTAAACCTTCACAAGCAGAATTAAATGTCATCACACGAACCTTTGGGGGACACAGTGAAACCATATGCAAGCCACCACACGGCCTTCGGAGACACTGTTCCTCGCGACCTGGCTCTGGCTTGGTCTTACGTAAGCGTTTGTGCAGTTTAGGCCACTGATGTTATTTTTGGTTAAAAATATTACTTTGGCATGGATTTCTTTTTTAAATTAATGTTTAATTTCAAATGCAACCTATGAATAAATTGCAATAATGTAATTCATCAAGGAGCTAATTTTAGAAGTGGATTGAAAAGTGTAGCTCTTGAGGCTGTTCCTCAAGCTGGTTTATTCTCTGTTGTAACACAGCAGAAGGACATTCGCTTTTACACCACTGCAGGCTGGAGTGAGATGGTTCACTTCACACAACAGTTTGACTGGGCTACAGTTCACAGCTGTGGGTCAAGTACCAGGTCAGATGCGGCTGTGCAGCATTTTTTAAGACTAGACATACATGTAAATCAGCAGGGTTGCAGTAAAGCAGATTGCCCACCGTGACGTGGGTGGGCCTTGTGCAATCAGCTGAAAGCCTTACAAACACTGAGAATTCCCTGAAAAGGAGTTCTCCTCAAGATTGCAACATAGAAATTCTGCCTGTGTTTCCAGCCTGCTGTCCTGCAGAATTTGGACGGAAGACTGCAACGTCAACCCTTCCCTGGATTTCCAACCTGCTAACCTGCCATGCAGATTTCAGACTGGCCAGTCCCATGGTTTGGGGAACCCCTTCCTTGTGATCTCTCTCTCTCTCTCCACCCCCTCTATACACACATACATATGCATATCCTACTGTTTCTGTTTCTGGCCAGTAATACAGGATGCCGTTGATGGGTGGAGCTATCAGACCCATATTATTGTGTCATCTCTTAGCTCCAAACTGCAGATGTCTAAGAAGACATCTCTTCACTGAGATCTTCTTGACACTATCTAGTCTGGCCTGGAGACCTTGAATTGCCTTTCACTCTGCTGGGACCCTGATTTTCAGGTGCCTGCAGGCTCACACCTGCCTCACCCAAGTCTGCTCAGCGTGCCTCTCACTCCACAAAACTGCTCCTCTCTGCAGTGACCTTCAGCCTTCTCCACCTCCCTTCCCTGGTGAACTTTTCTCCTCAGATGTAGCTGCACCTGCTACATGACATAGTCATCCCTCAGTAGGGAATGAGTTCCAGGACCCCTGCAGGTAACAAACTGCACAGATGTTCAAGTCCCTTATAAAAAATGGTGTCGTATTTGCATCTAACCTATGCACATCCTCTCCTATACTTTAGCTCTTCATAATACCTAATACAATGCAAAAACTATGCAAGTACTTGTTATACTATATTGTTTACAGAATACTGATAAGGAAAAGTAACTGTACATACTCAATGTATGCAAATTTTTTCCAGTTATTTCTTATCTATGATTGGTTGACTCCACAGACATAGAACTCACAGGTACGGAGGAGTAAATGTATTAGTTCCTTTTAAAATCTGTTTCTCATGGCCTCTTCCTCAGCTGCTGGAAGATCAGAGCCATGACTATGCCAGCTATGTTGGTCACTGGCGGTTCCCCACTGCCTAAAACAGGGCTGGGTACACACGGGAGCTCAGTAACTGCTTGCTTGATGTGGAATGACGGAATAGTTGACAGATTTGGGAACATGCAGCAGAAAGAGGCCTGCGCATGGTGGGTCAGTAGCTCTCTGCCCTTGACTTTCCCTCCAGTCTGGGTGCTGGCCATAAAGCAGCTTCCTTCCACGAAGACCCAGTTCCCACATCTACTCAGTCAGCCCCTCATTACACCCGTATAAGCACACATACCAAAGGGGGGCAGCCTCTCTGCTTCCGAGGAACACACGTCCCTCTCCTGCATCCGCCTGCCGTAGGTCGCAGAGTAGATGTTGAGTAACTTGGACTCGTGGCAGTGCAGCTTCAGCTCCTGGTCCTCACACACGGTTTTGTTTTTTAATTCATCTGAAGCAGAAATAAAAATCAGCAGCACCATCAGCTTCCCTGGGAAGGCATCGGTGAGGACCGCTCAATCCTGGCCACTAATTCAAGCTGCTCACTCAAAGAAGGGGCCAGCTGGGATGGCCCTACCTATAAACAAAGCCCCTGGGGAGGGACAACCTTCAGCCCTCACCAACACCCCTGGAATCACACTAAGGTGCAAGAGGGAGAGACAGGCCAGGGGCAGGGACAGGGCAGTTTCAGTCCCAGAACTGATTCCACAACAAACTTTCCCGTGTGTGTGTGTGTGTGTGTGTGTGTGTGTGTGTGTGTGTGTGTGTGTATTTAAAAAGAGAGAAAAGAAAAAAGAGTCTACCCTGGGCAACTAAATGAGCCTCTGACTCAAAATAAAAAAAAATTTTAAAGGGGTTGGATATATAGCTCAGTGGGAGAGCCCTTGCTTAGCACGTAGGAGGTCCTGGATTCCATTCCCAGCCCTGAAAAATGAAACAAAACAAAAGGAGACATAATATAAAAGCAAATGATCAGAGGGCAGGAAATGGACAAAAACAAGGCGCTATTGCAACAGCGAGCAGAAACCCTGAAACAACACCCAGGATTTGGAAGCAGATTTATTTACATCCACGGGCACTGATTGGGATCATTCCCACAGTATCAGGCCCTGATCTCTGGTGGTCTAGGGCTTATACTGGATAAGCAAGCAGGAAGTTCAGAGGCAGAATGGCTTGTCAGTTGGGGATTGGTTCTTACAATATGCATCATAGTGACCAGCTATGCATCGTAATGACCAGCCATATCTAAGTGACAGAAGCAATTGGAACTGGAGTAGGAACTGTTATTTGGGCTGCTAAGAACTGAAGTATATTGGCTGGGGGAAGCCATTTTCTGTTGCACTATGTGAAGTCTGCCCTAAACCTAATAACCCAGGAACAATTGTCCCTAGGTGCATTCTAGGCTGGGATCATTGGAATCAAGGGTGTTTTGTTCACAAAAAATGTAGGGAAAAGTTTGTCTGTTTAATCTATTTACCAGAAGAAAATTTTTTTTTTTTTGCAATGTCATGCAGTGGTATCATAAATGCATTGAAAAAGAAAACATACATTTTTGATTTTTTAGGGTGCACCCCCAAACTACTTAATCAATACACATTTTAATGAAGATTTTATTTTTAAAGTAGTAATTGCTAACATTCCAGACACAAGAGACTCCATTTAAAAGCTATCCAAGGTTTAGCTTTCCAAGGTTTTAGTTACTCATGGTTAACAATAGGTTGAAAATATTTAATGGAAAGTTCTAGAGAGATGAACTACATCCACATAACTTTTATTACAGTTATTATAATTGTTCGGTTTTATTATTGTTGTTTATCTCTAATTGTGCCTAATTTATAAACAATAGCATGGGTATGTATATGCTTTAGGGATCCCCTGGGGGTCTTGGAACACACCCCTACACAGGAGGGGGAGCTACTGTACTATTGTGTGTCACCTGATAACAGAGATATGTTCTGAGAAATGTCTCATTAAGGAATTCCATCATTGTGTGGCCGTAGGGTGTACTTACACAAATCAAGATGGTAGAGCTTGCTATACACCCGGGTCATATGGTATAGGCCACTGCACTTAGGCTGCAAATCTGTACAGCATGTCTATGTACTGAACAGCACAGGCAACTGTAACACAGTGGGGAGTATTTATGTACCTAAGTACACCTAAACACAGAAAGGATACAGTGAAAATACTAGGTGTTGGGAAATTTTCAGCTCCATTATAATTTTATGGGACCACTGCCATATATGTGGCCTGTCACTGAATGAAAGGTCATTATGAGACATGTGACCATATACGAAATATCCACCAAAGGTAAGTCTTTAGCAGGCAGAATGTAGATCAGTGGTTTCCTAAGACGGGAGGTGCCACCAAGGAGGGACAGGAAATGGACACAAGAAACTTTCTGAGGTGATGGGAATGTTCTGAGCTGGCTTGTAGTCATAGGTGTATAAGTCAGGAAATTTACCGAAAGTCATCAAACTGTACACTGAAAATGGGAGAATTTTATGTTATATAAATTATACATCAATTAAAGTATTTCTATGAGTATATGTCCTATTGGTTTTTTTTTTTTTAGTACCGGGAATCAAACTCAGGACCTTGCACTTGCCAGGCAGGCACTTGTACCACTGAGCTATATCCCCAGCCCTATCAAGGTATGTCTGCAATACAGAATAGTGATGTCTATTGGGGGAAATTGGTACATGTACATAACATCTTGATTATTTTTTATACTTTTGCCCCTCTCCCTTACAAAACCAGTAATAACTAACACTCAGTGAGCAGGTGCCCTCCGCTAGGCTCTGTTCTAAGAGCTTTAGTTGAATTAATAAATTTAATTTTCAAAACCCCTTTCATAAACTACTTCTTCAAATCCTTTGCATATTGCACACTGACTTTCAGCAACCATTTGAAGGAGTGAATCACAGATTCTACATGTTAGCTTTTATCATTTCTGCGTTAGAAAATCTTTTCATGGGGGCTAGGAATGCAGTTCAGTGGCAGAGTGCTTGCCTAACACAGGCAAGCACTCCTGGGTTCAACCCTCAGTGCTGGAAAACAAAAATGGAGGAGGAAAAGAGATTTCCTGGTCTGTCACTTACTGTAAACTGTGTAAAATAAGAGCCAAGCAAAACATAAGGGGTAGCATGGTCATGTACTTGCAATACATACTAGGGTTATGGCAGCTGGCTGGATCTGTGTAGCCCAGGATCAGTAATGCTTAAGCTCCAACTTAAAACATGAAAGAAAATAATTCCCAAACACAGACCCACCCCCCTTTTCTGTAACTTGTAAATTCCCACGACTTTCTACCAAAATCAGAAAAGCACCAGAGACCAAACCTTTGGGCCACAGGAAGAGAAATTTCCGGCTCTCAACTTGACCACCAGTTTTAGTGCTGCTAAATCTCAGCACTGTTCTGAATCCCATCATCCCCTGTAGCCACAGTTTTGCTTTCTGTGATTTTAGCTACCTGCAGTCAACCGCAGTCCAAAGTTTTAGATGGAAAATTCTAGAAGTAAGCAGTTCATAAGCTTTACACTATGCACTTGAGTGAGTAGTATGCTGAAACTTCTGCTGTCTGGCTCTGTCCCACCCAGGACAGGAATTGTCCCCTTTTCCACTATATCCATAGTATATATGCTCCCTGCCACTAATCATTTTTTTTTTT